CTCAGCCTGGCAGGAACGGCGGGCGCTGCGGCAATCGAACCCCGTACCTCTGGTTTCTCAGGTGTGTACTGTTAAAAGCAGACGTGTCAACCACTTCACTATCGGCACCATTGGAGAGTGTTTCAAATGAAAAGCAGTTCGGGGAGCTGAGATGGCCGAGGAGACGTGTCTGTTCGGAGCTAGTCTCGGAGACGAGTTCCAAGCCGCGGATGACCATGGTGACACAGACCTGGACGATCGACACGGTCGCGAAGATTCAGCGACATTGCTCCAAGTGTGTCAGAATACTGGGCCAGCGACCAGCGGCTGCTCCCCCCCCCCCCCCCCCACACACACACCATCCAAGTCTGGGGCAGCCGACACAGACACCGGCGTGCCTGGCATGGACAGCGCCAGGACTTCGTCCGAGCCTGCGTGCCACACAAGGCACCGATCCGATCCTTGTCCTCACAGACTGGAGGAAGGTCAGCGCGCCCTCCGTGGCTCAGGCTGGGCAGTCGGGCGGCTCCCGGCACCGGCGGAAGCTTTCCGCGAGGATTTCCGCCGGATGGAGGCGGCGTTCTGCATCGCGCTACGGAGTCGCACCAGCTGAACAGGAGGTCAGAGGCGGCCGCCGACTTCCTGGCGACGCCACAAGCCAGGTTTCCCACCTTATCCCTTCTGCTGCGCTGAAGACCTTCACTCGCGTCCGAACAATCATGCACATGAAGGCTATCAACGAACCCAGACGGCGAAAACGACGGCCAAGTGTTGCAAACATTACGTTAAATAGATGCTGAGGTATGCCTAGCTACCACCAAGAGGTATGTACGCCCGCTGGATGAGCCGGCCAGGTGAGCTGGACGGCCGGCAGTCGTATATTCGTGCACACTCCTCCCGTGCGTGTGTACGCATGTGTGTGTGCGTGTGCTCTTGTTCACTTCAGGTAGTACCCATTGTGTATTGGACAAACATGGCACCCATCATTGGTTTGTTCATTTCGTATTGTTCTTCTTTGGGACCTTTGTAATGTTTGTTTCTTCGGCATCCTGGTGTAGTACAGCTTCTTTAACTTATTGCATAACTTTTTCGGCGTCCCGGTCATCACATCAACACAACTGAGCCTTGACTCAACTGTCACTCGGTTCTGCCGTATTTTCATAACGCGAGGTGATAAGGGACGGGATTGAGGGGACCCCATGGTATTTTCGTAATAATAGTGATAGAGCCTCGTGGGAAAAGAGCAGATTGGTCTCTGTAAGACCTCGCGATTGTTTGCGAATTTTGCATTCACATCACTTCCGTAGGCGAGCCCAAAGATTCTCGTGTATGTATCGTGAAAATAATACGTTTCATCTTAGCATGCCAACGTTCATGAAACCATGCGATGTGTGGCATCATTTAACGTGCATCGGCGTGCTTCCCGCGCAATTTTGGCCATTTCGACACATATGTTTTTGAACGAGTATGCATGGTGCAGGGGTTCCGTAAATGTAACAGTGCCATAAGGGGTAAATGCATAGCTTTCATAAATGTATCAGTGCTATAAGGGGCCTATGCAGTAGCTCCGTAAATATAACATTGTCACAAGGGGTTATGCAGGGTTCCGTAAATTTAGCCGTGCCAAGAAGGGTTATGCAGAGGCGCCGTAAATGTAACAGTGCCATTACGGGTTTATGCAGGGCTTCGGTAAATGTAAAAGTGCCATGGGGGCGTTATGTATGACTTTCGTAAATATAACAGTGTTATAAGGGGCTTATGCAGGGGTACGTAAATGTAACATTGCCATAGGGGGTTATGCAGGGTTCCGTGGATTTAACCGTGCCGAGAAGGGTTGCACAGAGGCTCCGTAAATGTAACAGTGTCGTAAGAGGGTTATGCAGGGGTTCGGTAAATGTAACAGTGCCATAGGGGTGTTATGCATGGCTTTCGCAAATGCAGCGGTGCTATAAGAGGTTTATGCAGGGGTCCGTAAATGCAACAGATGAAGCTTCATACGATGTGGAAATGTTCATCTCAAATTGCCTTGTGATATATAGGAGGCTGAAGGAAAGGTGGACTGGTGTGCTGGCATCGTCACATATTCAGCTGGGCTCAACGTAAGCCCCAAAATCTAGTGGGTAAAACGTGTTAAAAAAATGTGGTGTATGCGCTGTCCCAAACACAATGCACAAAATGCACAAAACCGGAGCACTTGCAGCTCTAGACCCCCTCTTTTATGCAGCATTCCTCAGTCCGCGTCATATGTTTCAGAACTAGCCATTCGGTTATGGCAGCAACAGCTTAGGAGTTGCGCTTCTCCGAAGAACAACCAGCATATGAAATCATATGGTCGCAGATGACATAAACACATTCCTGGGCCTTCTCCCAACAGATGACGGCATGCGTCAGCACTGACAGCGCTCCACGGCCTGTTGGGTGCACAGAAGCTGGTAGTGCCGGAAAAGGATTGGCTTGTTGGAGATAATCTCAGAAATACCTGGGCACGGACTGGTGAATCAGTGATGTATCTGCGCTTTTTACCTATGGCAGGGCAAAGAACTCAGAGGAATGATTGAAATGACCGATGATTTTACGCAGCCAGACCTGCTTTGCATGGTAGAGCTGCTTTGCATTTGCAACCAGAGCTGCTTTACATTTGCAGCCAGAGCTGCCTTGCTTTGCGTCTGCACATTGACGGGCCTGGTTTCAAATCGAGCGCACTTAATCCAGATAACAAGGGTCGTCTGGCTTAGGGGGCATGTCGTCGCCTATTGCTGGCATGCATTGTGATCTAAGCCGAAATGGCGCAGGCACGGGGGGGGGGGGGCACAGGGGGCAGGTGCCCCATCCACTTAATGTTCGAGGGGCCTTTTGGGCTCCTCGCGACCGACGATTAAGGACCGAAAGGCCAGCCGGAGTTCGCACCCAGGGGCCCAACCCGCAGGGCCGGACGTTCTAATGCTAGCCAGAGGGCCCTTTCGGCTGACCGGGGACATCCTGAGTCTATAAGGGCTTAAATGCCGGTCAGACAGCACCAGCTCCGCACAGTAAGCTCAGTATCAGGATGTGTTTCAGGGCTCATTTTCAAGCACGAACAAAGCCGGGGCCAGTAATTAAAACTAGTCGGGGCCCCTGTACCTGTCACGGACCCACAGTGCCTAACAGGGGGTTCTGTGTTGGTGAGGGGCCCCGGTTCGACCAAGGGTAGTGTGCAATGAGGCCAGAAGAGAGGCCCGGGGGCCCACCGAAACTGACAACCAAGAGCCCTATTGGAGGCCCATCACACCGGCGGTGTGCGCTCAGAGCGCCCGGGTAATTGGTTGTCACGACTAATGTACGATTGGCGCTTACCGACGCTACCAAGCATTGGTGATCGTATCGAAGGCAAGTCTACGCATACTAATGTCAACAATAACATGCTCGTACCATGATAGCGAATCAGTTCGATTGCAACCGCTCCAGGCGACTGACCTACCGTAGCATATTGAACGGAGTGTCCCACATTCGTATGGGTTTCGAACTGTGGTAGCGATCTTTGGCGTTATTCGGGACAGTTTACAGCCCTGTCCCCCTTCAGACTCTAGTTCCTGAGCTACACGCCCGCGGAGATGTGCAGGCTTTTTGGTGCATTATATTTCAAGGCCACCCAGGGATGCATGGCGCTATTGACATGTCACTCAAATACTGTCACCTCACTGGTCATGCGGCGTTTGAGGCCAAGACAAATATATGATGGTCGAATTATTCGCGTCTGGCATGCGTGGGCACGATTTCTAGAACCAAAGGTCTTCAGTTCGGTCTTTACCAAAGTTATGCGTTCAATGCAAGTTTTAAACACAAATCACGTTCTGTCTTACATAATGCAGAAAGTTGGACAGTAGTACTAGTCATCACGAAAGTAAGGTTTTTGGAAAAAAATAACACCTATACTAAGCATGTGAATGCCAGTATTCGATGATAAATGCATGATAACAAGCAACATGCAATAAAAAAACAATAGATCCAGTAACATTTCATAAACTTCACAAGCATTAGAACCACAAGTATTAGTACATGTATATCTGTTTATTTAGTGAACAACAACCTGACGGGTTGATATGTCAGAGCACCACGAGAAGCGACCAAAACACGTGCAGGCAACGATATTTGGATTCTGGAAACGCTGCATCCATTGCAACGACACCTTGCACGAAGTTGAAGTACCACAAGTGAATCAGCCCGTCCGATAGGGAGATAATTTTGTGCAGCCAGCTTGGCGGCTCCCTGACGTCATACGAATGTTCTATGACGCAATTAAACGATGACGTATAAAGAAGCATATGTACTTAAGTGGAAGTACAGCAACTAGTAGAGTGGTTTGCATTTAAAAGTATACAAATAGCTATAAGTGAGCTTATTTCATCACATCTGATATTGCATCAGTTTCTCGAAATGTTGAGCATTCTCTCTAATCCACACGAACTTGTTGGTTTTTCGTCTTTGCCCTGGTCTTACCCTCACTCCTCTACTACCAAATTTTTATCGTCTGTCCTATCCGGCCAGTGGAGGAACAATTAACTTTTTTCAAAACGGGACTTATCACCCTGATTCTGGCGTATGCAGGTGGAAGTTCTGTTTCTTAAATGAATTTTTTTCTCGAATCGTGAACAACAAAGCAATCTCATTTCAAAGCGCGAGATTTTGCTACAAACGTATATTAACGAGAAAAAGCGATAATAATATTGAACAAGCAACAACCCAAGTCGCATCACTGCAGTGAGACCTCTGCAGTGTAGCCATACGTACTGAATGTTGGGCAAACCCACAGCCCGTGCACAGACCATCACATCGCCTACCGCAGAGATAAGTTCTACACCAGACCGCATTCCCCGCTCTGCGACCTACCCACGCCGCCCTAAAACATGCCCGGTTTGTCTGCTGCGGCCCAGCCGTGCCCGTCAGCGGGTGCTGGCTCTGGCGTCGACCCTTCCTGCTGAGCAGCGCTGGGGGCAAACCGCACGCTGCCCGGCGCGTGCTGCTGGTGCAGCGCTGGGCTCGACCCGGCGCCGGAGAGCAGAGCGCCAGGACGGCGCTCGTCGGTCGGAGCGTGAGCCTGGTACGGCGGAGGCGGGTCCGGGTACCCTGCAACGGCCGAAGCAGGGTCACGGTGGTGGCAATGGTCACACTGCCCATTTTTTTCTCATGTTGAGTCCGTCGTTAAACCTGACCTCGCCCTTTCATTTCAAGCGCTAACGTTAATCTAGATTATGAAGGCCTTAACGAAAAGTAATTTGGTTCGAGGTTTACGGCGCCACTCAGCTGGGCTTGAAGGTGAGGAGGCCACTGCTACCTGGGTGGGAGATACCCCTCCAACTTGGGCTGCCTTATGGAGTGCTTGTGGAGTGCTTGGGAGTGCTCGTGTCGCTTGAGAGGTGCGCTCTACTCGAACCCGGAGTACCACTCCCCCTAACTTTGCAAACGTCTGTTTCTTCTGATGTCGAGTCTGCCGTTTAAACTTGACCTCGCCCTTTCATTTCAAGCGCCTCGGCATTTAGTTCGGGATGAGCCCAGTAGAACACTGCCAATATTTCAGTTTTGGACTTTCCCAGCTACCGAGAACGCAGACAGGGCTCATCAGGTCCTAGCTGTCTACTTGGTCTGTGCTGTACTTGTGCGGTCTGCTTGGAGTGCCCTTTCACCCGACTTTAGGCCCACCTCAACCAGAGCCCGGGGTAACCCTTCACCCGACTTTGGGCACACCTCAGCCAGAGCTCGGGGTAACCCTTCACCCGACTTTAGGCACACCTCAGCCAGAGCCCGGGGTAACCCTTCACCCGACTTTGGGCACACCTCAGCCAGAACCCGGGGTAACCCTTCACCCGACTTTAGGCACACCTCAGCCAGAGCCCGGGGTAACCCTTCACCCGACTTTAGGCACACCTCAGCCAGAGCCCGGGGTAACCCTTCACCCGACTTTGGGCACACCTCAGCCAGAGCCCGGGGTAACCCTTCACCCGACTTTAGGCACACCTCAGCCAGAGCCCGGGGTAACCCTTCACCCGACTTTAGGCCCACCTCAGCCAGAGCCCGGGGTAACCCTTCACCCGACTTTAGGCACACCTCAGCCAGAGCCCGGGGTAACCCTTCACCCGACTTTGGGCACACCTCAGCCAGAACCCGGGGTAACCCTTCACCCGACTTTGGGCACACCTCAACCAGAGCCCTGGGAGCCCTCTACCTATGTCTGTCGGCGCCTGCTCTCTTAAGCCGTCCTCTTCATACAGCTACGGACAGGCTTTGCTTGAGCTTATGGTGCCTCTCTGCTGGACTGGGCCCTATCTATTGAACTCAGGAACTTGGGCATTGGGTTCCATATACACTATTGGTTTGGAGGCACCTTACTTCGGCTTTGGGACTACCGGACAATGGACATGGACGAATGGGCATTACTAGAACGTTGGAGTGCTTATCTACTAAGGCTAGGGACACCATTTTTCTAGGAGTCTGGGGCACCGCTCCCCACCTAGGCTCTGGGCTTCTCCGCTTAAGCTTGAGACTTGCTTTGCCTGAATTTGAGACATCCCTCTGCGCAGGGGCTGTGAAGCCTTGGCTTCCATTCGAGCTTTGAGAATCTCTTCCCCTGGGTTTGGCATAATCCCTTTACAGGGCTTAGGAGGAACGACAGCTATACCGGAGTTGTATGCCCTTGTTTCGGGTCCGTGTCACTGAGTTTTCTTAATCGTACGAGAGGGCACCACATTTTCTAGCGTTCAGGGGACCCACGCTCAAACTTGAGTACGGTTACATGTATACTCTCTAATAATATACTTATAAATGCAATACGTATAATACGTACGTACGTAATACATAATAAAAATAACGATACGTAAAATGTGCAAAAATAATGATAGTATACGCATCAAAATAATACGTGATGATACTAACCCCTTATTATAATGCGTATAATAAGTGGTTATACGTATACTCCCTTCCAAAATTCTGCATTCTGGAAACTGTTTGTTATGCATTGCACACAAAAACATGGGGAATTGCCCTTTTGCCTTTTGTTATGGATAAATAATTATACGATTTGCAGGCACCAGGCCCAGGTTCACTGGTGGCAGCATATGGCGGACCATTTGCAGGCAGCAGGCTCAGGTTCAATGGTGGCAGCATAAGGTGGGCCATTTTAAGATTGCGATTTTGTAGTGAAGACTAAAGAAACTTTAAGCCTACATGCACAGCTGAAAAACCCTGGAGAAATGCAGTGAAGCTCTGCTGTCGAAAACCATTCGCTGCCTAAAGCAGGAACATCCGCCGGATATGACGAGGATCAACTAGCCAGCGTTTAGGAAACTGCGGCCCAGGCTGGAGGAGGGGCAACGCGGCTGAGCAAAACAGCGGAAACTACAGCATCGTCGCTCACACCAAGGAGGAAAAGCCCCTGGGGTCGGAGAACATCCTAACACACTAGCGCTTCCTCTGTTTACGAACGTGGCTCGTGTGTTCGTACATCAAAAGCTCTATAGGTGGCAGCACCTGTTCGACCGACGCACCTGGTGTTCGGACTCTCGGCATGCCCTCGGTCCCGACTGGTGAAGGCTCCATGAAGGGATTGAGAGCAAACCGCTTCTCTTCTCCGCCTTCACAGCGCGGCGTGGGAGTCAGATCTCCAGTCAGAGCTGCAGTTGAGGTCCGGGCGGCAGCTACCATCACTGGCGCTGGATCGCGTGCTGGTGGCCCTTGGGACGGCTGGTCCCGCTCCGTCGTCTGCTGCGGAGCATTCGGCTGTGGGCGTTGGATTTCCTGTCCGGGAAGGGCAGAGCTGGCCGGCTCAATAATCTGCTGAGGCTGAGGTGCGGTCTGCTGCGGGACAGACTGCTGATTTGGCTGCTGGTACGGCTGCTGATTTGGCTGCTGGTAAGGTTGCTGATATGTCTGCTGATTTGGCTGTTGGTATGGTTGCTGATTTGGCTGCCCATTTGGGTGTTGATATGGCTGCTGAATCGGCTGCTGATATGGCTGCTGATATGGCTGCTGACAGGGTTGCTGATACGGTTGTTGATTAGGTTGCTGATACGGTTGTTGATTTGGTTGCTGATTTGGATGCTGATACGGCTGCTGAACTGTTGGCTGATATGGCTGCTGACTCGGCTGCTGATATGGTTGCTGATATGGTTGCTGGTAGGGCTGCTGACCGGGCTGCTGGTAGCAGGGCTGAGACATCATAGGCATCATCATCATCTGCTGCTGCTGCTGCTGCTGCTGCTGGCCGCTGCTCTGCTGGTTGGTGCTGTTGCTCGTGTTGTTGCTCGTTACCACTGTGACTGCATCACCCACGGCCTCCCTCTGTAGGGCAACTCTCGACTCGAAGAAATTTCGCAACTCCCGGACCAGGAGGTGGGCGGCGGCGGATGCCAGCACGTGCAGAACGAACCCGAAGAAGGTGATCAGCGCGTTCGTCAGGATCAGCGACTTGAATTCCTCTACCTGTGAAATACGAGAGCATGTTCCACAAGATTCAACAAGATGGGTTAAACAGGGTTTAATGAACGGAGGGTTCAGCGGTGCTAAAATGTTCTTGGGACCAAAATCGAGCGAACGTCCTGGCGACGATCACAACTATACGTGTTTATAAATGTTAATGGATGGCATTTGCATGCATTTCAAGTCAGCACAAGTTGGAGGAACGAAAACCAAGGAAGTGAAACGAAGTGCACTTTAATGAGCCATTCACCCCGGCGTCAAGCAAATGCCCGGGAGAGGGGCTTTAGGGTGACATCAGGGACATCGTACCTTTTTCAGTTCCCGCAGGATGCGAATGTTGAACGTGTAGAGGCAGCCCTGATTGATAGCCACCTCGTAAGTCTTTTCACTCAGCGACATATTCTGCAGGTTCCATATGTAATCAAGTTTCGGAGCCAACTCCCTCCACTTGTCCTGGGAACTCCAGTCGTCCATGAAGTCCTTGGCGGCTGAGCTGATCTGGCCTCGCAGCGTGTCGGCCAGGTAACCTGTCAGACTCCTGCGTCGCAGCTCCGATCGGCCCGCACTGCACAGTGGATCATAGCCCAGTGTCATGTTCACTGGCTTCCTGGATTCACTGTTGTCGCTTGAGAGGAGCAGGCCCGCCACTTCACCGAACGCGATGTGCAGGGTCTTCTTCTTGGCGGAGTCGAAAATAGCGCGCATCTCATCGCCCCAAGAGAAATAGTGTGGCCCCATCCTTGCCGCGTCCAGGCTGCCCATCTCGTCCAACCAGCCCATGGCCCTGCCGAAGGCCTCCTTTTCCTCCGGCGAGACGCTCGTGAGCTGTGTGGAGGGCGGCACGTGACCTCTCATCACGCGTCGCACGTTGGGCGTGACGACAGTCAGCTGCTGGTATGACCGGAAGAGCGCCGCCGCCGTGCCGAACTCGACCAGGGCCATGGCGCCGGCCAGCAGCACGAACTGTCGACAGCTGGACGTCAGCCAAGCGGCGATGCCGCCCGCTACACATACAGAACGCCTGCCCCATGTAGCGATGCGTCCTTGCACCACAACTGGGCGTCGCTCGGAGGCATCGAAACACGCACGGCTCTGGCATTAACAACGCAACATCCACCGCGAGTTAAAATACGAAATGGCTGAAAGACTTCCTACGAGGAAGTGCTGATGAAAAATACCCGGGACATTCACATCAACAGTATGGAAATATAGCGATAGATATGTTGACAAAACGTGTTGTGCTGAACGGAGCAAGGAGTTATAGGCTCTGCACACAACAGGACAAAACATGAGCTGTTTTCTAAGTTCATGCTCTCTGTCCCACGAGATAAGTATGAGTGTGGTTATCGTTGTTTCAAACCAGAGTTCAACTTGTTACTTGACATTTAGATCCCATACTAGGCATCCACCTTAAGTGTCTGGCACATACCAGGAAGAGCGTGGTGTGGTTCTCGCAGCAGGTGCCGAACAGGCCAATAAAACCGATGGCGAAGATGATGAAGGAGATGACGATAACTGTTCGGTACGTCCTCCGGTTTCGCAGCACCAGGCTGCACTCACATGGATTTCTCTCTGCGCTGCATTCCTGGCGCACAATGTCGTGCTCCCACTTGATTCTGAACAGATATGGGCGAAACAATGCGTCAATGGGCACCAAAACAAGCAGAGAAACGAGTGTGGACAGGATACGGTACTAACCTAGACACTCATGGCATGCAGTTGAGATACGGATACGGTACTAACCTAGACACTCATGGCATGCAGTTAAGATACGGATACGGTACTAACCTAGACACGCATGGTATACATTTTGCCTTGGAAAAATTACATTGGAGCACACCAGATAGCATAAATCAGACTGCAGCAATTTATGGGTGTGTAACTTTATTCATCAATATTACAGCAGACTTCAGAGGTAGAGCAGTGCAGCTCACTCAGTGTAAGCAGCGGTCTTTGTTGTAGGTCATGCGAATGTTAGGACCAGTCAGCATGTGCATTCAAAGCAGAGGTACCTCATAGTTTTCAGGAACGGTATTAGCAGTGTGCAGGTACACACCAGCCGGGGCATCGCTTTATATGCGTTCCGGGAGACCTGAGCCCCTCCCCTTTCTAATTTTTATTTGAGCCCCCAAACGTCGCCCTGAACCACCACATGTGAACAAAAAGCGAATACTGGCCCGAAGAAATGGATGTTTTTTGGAACGATTAGGCAATAAGTACACAGATGCATCACAATTAGAGGCATATGCATTTTGGACTGAGTTACGCCATGCAGCTACAGCTATATCTTTATCATGTCAATTCCTTCATAGTTAGGCCAGTCTGCAAATGTTCGACAAGTTTTTCGTTTGACAACACCTGGACTGAAAAAAACGATTGATTGCAATATGCGGAAGCTTTCAAAAGTATAAGAAGGTCCAGATAAAACTTAACTCGCGTTCTCTTCAACAGCGCCTAGTGTATTTGTCGCACAATCGTGACTGATGGTTTTTTAGCGCAAATTGAATGCAGGAACACGACAAGTGAAAGGTAGCCATCAGATTTCACACCTGTCGAATCGTGCCAACAAAAGGTACCCCAGATGGCCCCTGCCGGTTCAGAATACCATGCAGCTGATCTTGCTACAGGTGCCTGATCGTCCGATCATTTGTGCACAATGATTCCCTGCATCTTAAGTCTGAATGTGGCCTGAACTTTTGAATGTTTGCTGGCTTATCCATGTGGTTTTCGAGGATACACCAAAGCATAAGTCCAGGGACCACAGGTCGGGTTAGTGAGGGGCCCCAGCATGGCAGTCTTAAGCCGTTGTGCATTCCAGCGAAATGATTCTCGAACAAATGCAGTGGAACCCGTGTCGCGCGCGGTGTCACCCCGTTCCGCTGGAGCTATGTCATCCGTTGTCACCCCGTTCCCCATCCCGATCGATCTATTGAAGTCGACCAGGTCCGCCCAGAAGGGTGTCAGAGCGGTCGCAATGCTCGGCGCGTTCCATCCCGTCCTCTGGCGGTGCCTGGCTGTGGGCGCAGCTGCGGTCACCGACCGCGGGCTATCCCAGTCGCGGACAAACAGCGAACGGTCGGGCGGTCAAACGGCAAACACCGGTCGCTTTCGTAGCGTCGCATTACGGTCCGATGCGAGTCGGAGCGAAAATGGAAAGTATTAAAACAATCAAAATAACGCGCACCTCACTAGACAATCGGACAATTGCAATCAGGGTAAAGCGTCATTATACTGACCATGATTCAGTTAGGAAGGTCAAATCAGGGTAAACACCAAACAGCTTTCTCATTGGCAGCCTTGGGGTAGTTTATGACGCCCATTTCCAGTCCCTTGATCAGGAAAACGTCGACACAACCATACTAAACTCACGAAGGCAGGACTGGTAAATGACCTAAAATAAGCTCCACCAAGCTTTAGTTTTCATCAACTTGCCGTTCATGACGGTTATGCTACGTTCAAGTATACAAATTATCATTGAAGATTTTTGCTAATTTTGACCTTCTTTGGTCAGATGAGGTCACAGACCTGATGTGAATCCGAACAGCCTTTGGCCTAGAAAAGGTACCACGGTAAAGCTGGGGCGCGAGAGGTCTGAAGGCACATGAGACGTGGTTCTCAAGTTGGATCTTCTTCGACGTTATTTGAGCCAAAAGTCATAGCTCAGAGACCTGCAAATTTTGCACAAACAAGTTCACATAGAGGCCTAGCTATCCGGTGAATCTGGTACATCTATCAGCTTGGATATGTCGGTGGACTCGAATTAACAACGCACCCTCCGAGCGCGCCCCGGCTATCAGTGCCAGGTACCAGGTAAAGCGCCCCCGGTACATCGCTGAAGTACGAAAGGGCGTGTGCTGGTTTGTTACCGACTGCTGGTACCGCAGTGCCAAAATCCTACATCCGTTATTCAAAGCAATATCCGACATATTGGAGATAGTTATGTCGCACGTATCATATTTACAATAATCTAGGCTGGCCCCCGCTGGATTCAGCGGTTGCGCCACCATCCGCGGTATATGAGATAAGGAAAATGTCTTCCAAGTTTTGAAAGCATGACTCGATTTCCATGATAAAGCTCCAAAGCCGTTGGAGAACCTCCCACAGCAGAATTTCAACATTCGTGTTTTGTTACAAGCTTTGCGGTCGATGTCGCATCCTAAAAGCTTTCAAAAGTTTGCCTTCAAAAGTTCATATGCCGAAACTGGTCCAAACCAGTGAAAGGAGAAGATACAATCGACATCGGATTGCAATGCAAGAATATAAACTATGCGTTACAACACCTATGTCAAAGCATTTTGACTATATCTCATTTTGAAGTCTCCTGGCATCAACCCCCCGAGAAGGAAAACATTAATTCTCCGCGATGGATCACATGAACCGTTAGTTATAGCTCACTTTTTAGATAAATTAATTTAAAGCAAATGATAAACATCAAATACGCCGACACACACCTACCGCCGGCAAACTCAGGCACCACACGGCGCACATATTTTTCAAGCAGTCGTCGTCCGAGAGGTGTGATCCTACTCCCAGCGGTATTCCGAGCTGGCCCGTGCGGCGTAGTACAGCTTTGTTGCGAGCCCCTTGAGAGAGCGCGGAAAGCCAGGACAATCGGACAGGCGTGGGCAGAGGCGTCTGGCGCCAGCCAAACGGTAAGGCAAAAATAGCCGACACATGGGATGCATCTGCGGGCTCGATCATTCCTAGCGTCATAGTACTGGTGAATCAGCCTGAAAGACGAACGAGACTATCTTGTCCAATAATTACCACAGACCCGACGCAGAGCCAGATCAATACTGTGTAATCCGTTTGTCAAAACAGGAGGTTGGGCAAAAACAAAGCTTACCTAAGTTGTTAAGTGCATTAACAAGGAACGTTATTCACATGCATAAGACAGTAGTCATAGTCTTATTGATCGGAAAAAGCCAGGAGACTCCTGCTTTTCGTGACAATACAGGCATGGTGCCGAAATAACAACGCATCTCTATCTCCATTTCCCAGTTTTTTTTTCGATGAACATTGCTACGACTATTGTTTTATCTATACCAAAAACAGACCTTTCTGTTAGCTTTGCATCCCTTGCTCCGCCTTGCTGAAGGCTTGAATTATCGGCTAACATTGCATAACACCCACCCCAAAATGGGTTCAATCAATCAATATTATCACGGGCACAGCAAGGGACTTTGTTGAAAGTGGCGGATCTCAGTAAGGATGCTCATACTGATTTTGGACTTTCTATCGGGAACCTCTTATGGTGAAAAGGAGCAAAATGCGGCTCCGGGGGGAGGGGGGGGGGGGCAGTGTCTCCTGTTATTTTGAAGGCTGATGATCGCCGGTATGAAATCGCCAAACTCATGATGCCGAAAAACCAGGGGCTCATGGCGTTTCGTGCTGATATCACTGATTCGACCTGTCATGTCACCAGACGGTTGGCGAATGGCACGTTCAGATTTCGTCTGACGAATCCCTTGTTATCCCTGGTCGCCGTTGGTACTAGCCTAAGCGCGTGGTGACGAAGGACGAGTGGTGATAGCGCCCTCACCTGACCAAGTCGAGAGGTGTGTGAGCTTTCTCCAGACGTTCGACCATGTACTGTGTGGCCTCGGAGTCATCGCCGGACATCTTCCACCACATGCGCAAACCGAAATATAGCAGCAGAATGCCGAACACCTGCCGCCGTACATTGTCTCATTGGCAGTCGGGAAGGCAAACCGTTCGGCCAGCAATATATGGCGTGATCGGGATATGGCACGTTCGGTTTATGATCACAGGTGTGATGAAAACCGCCTTTGTTTATTGATCGATAGAACGTGCCTCGCTCAATATGAATGCAAGGGTTTGAACGTCAGGCGTCCACACGTTTGGACACCCGGCACTCAAAGCGTACATTACATGCAGATCAAATCCGCAGACAACGCATGCACAAACATGTTACGCGGTACTGCGCCTACTCCCCACGGACTTCAAGAATATGAAGCTAAGATATGGAAAAAGCAGCTGCGACTGAGGGCCGATCAGGCTTACTTCTATTTAGACTTACCACCGACGCGACTGAGCCGATCAAGACCACCACCTTCTGCCACGTGCCAACGCCAGACCACGATCCGCAGCCGGTGACCCGGATCCGACTCCAGCCTCCCCAGCCCCTGTTCCTGTACCTCATTCTCCCCTGTTCCTCGCACCACCCTCCACTGTCCTGAGTTCAAGCCACCAGCGGACTGGGCGCACGAAGACGCCCGCGCCAGCAGGGGAACAGGACATGCCTGGCCGTGGTTCTCAAAGTCACCGGCAGATGTCGGCCTGTCCGCGAGTCAAGGTCTGCCACTGCCCGGGGGTTTGGCACATTGCTGGCTAAAGGACGCCAGCGGACGTGGCCCATGGAACCAATTTTTGGGGCTCAGTTTGAAGAATGCAGCGTAGCAGATGCAGCATGGTAGCGACCACGCCAACGTCATGGAGATCACGCCACTTTTAGCATTTGCTATTGCATATTACTTTCGGTTGCTACGCCACAACGACCCAAGTCATACTTGATTTCATGCCTACGAGCTACCTTTGGAGGAAAATTGCTTGCAATATTTTAAGACCATTGCACTGTCCTGCCGTCGATGACATTTTGCCAAGATATTGCATGACACGAGAGAGAGAGAGAGCATTGCAACACTCAGCTGGCGAAATGGCCGGGATACTCGCGCAGTGCTGCAGGGGTGATTTTAACGCATGAAATGACAGCGAAAAATAAATTAATGCACATCTCAGTTCAGAAGAAATTTGAATAAGTTGTGGCGTTACCTAGCCTGTTAACATCGACCTAGCCCACAAGCTGGTGTCGTCTCCCACCCAGGGCAACCCGACCATCCGGTCATGTTTCATGTTTCACCGAAAAATCGTACAAGTTATGTGATGCGTAGAATCAACCCGGTCACAATACCAGGACACCTGACCTGAGGCTCACGAGATATGACCCAAGGCATTTGCATGTCCTTAGCGCTGTAGCAATAATACAAATTCGTGAAATATTACGAAAGTATGTGCTGTTGGCATCGCAGTCATTTAGGCAATCAAACTAAAAGCAAAAAAACCATCTAGATAAATTGGGAAAAAGGCCTCGTGACATATGCCGATGTTTATTATGTCAACTTTGCATAATGTCCGTTCTTAGTATCGTATTCTGCAGAAAACTCTTTTCGTGTGTTGGCTTTCTAAATAAAGATATGAGGGTACAAATGTCTACATCGTATTACCACAGTTCAAAATATAGCTAAACTTACTCATTTTGTTACCCGGACGCCACGGAAATGAACTTTTTTACCAACTATCATGCGGCTCCATCGCATTGAAAACCACTCACATCTCCTTGCGAGCTGATAACATTGCTTGTCTGGTGCGTTAAATCCCCCTAGCACAGTATCAGCTCCGTTTGACTTACAGGTCACGATGCCGAGAGCCCGAGGTTTTTCGTGGGTTTGACGTAACGTTGATATGCGCTCACCACCCAAGTTCCACGGGGCGCTGGCTCCGCACTATCCTCGTCCTTACTCTCGCCGTGTAACCAGGCGTCCAGTGTTTTCCCTGGTAGGGCGCGCCTGCCTTGGCATTAGCGAGCCTCACGGCGGCCTGGGTACGGGTGGTCTGGATGCAGGCGTTCTGGATAAAGCCATTCTGGGTACAGACGGCCTGAGTACAGGCGGCCTGGCCACAGGCACTTAATGTGGAGGTCAGTCGACGGGTGGGCCACAAAAGTGTGATGCGCGTGTGGAACAATATAGAGCAGGTGGTCTACATCCCTTTTAGTTCTACCCAGGCAACGAGTTGCAAAATATGTCAAGAGGTATTTTTAGGGTCTGCCTCAATAGTCGATCGAGTGGGTGTTGTATAACCATGAAATTACACATTGTATCATCCCCAGTCCTCGCCAGGGGTGGCACAGTATAGAGCGGGTAATTCTTGCATTTCCCTTCCCTGCCGACAAGCGGAAGGAGGAAGGCAGGAATGCGTTCTTGCTCCTCAATGTTTTGGGAGGCACCCTCTGCCCAAACGGAAAGTTGTGTGGCTTTACATGTGATATCAAAACTCAGTCTAGAAGATCCCTGTAACGGAGCTAGTGGCTAGTGGCTTACGAGAACATGGCTAATCCATGTTTGTCTCAAAACATTCAAGATTCAATCAGAACTGATTACTGATAAAAAAATACGTAGCATGGTATTGAACATGCTCGCTCGTAAGTCATAGCAACAACAGCCCCGAATCTCGGTTGCAGTCTTCACGTGCCGCGTGGCGTCAGCCCTGCGGTTATGATACTAAGCGATGGCCATGACCATGAGCGGACGATGGCCATGGCTATGATGGCCATGACCGGATGAAAAAGGTGGCGCAATTTGAGGAAGATGGCTAATGAACCAGGTGAAATCAGCACTTATCTACAACGTAGTGCAGAAGTAACCTAGACATAACCGTAATCTGAACAATGGGGGGCAGTTAACATTGCTGGTCTCCCACCTTCGAAAGCGGGGGCCATGGCTCAGCTGCCACCTCCTGTTCCTACACCCACGGTTCCGGTCGTTGGTCAGCATTACGGCCGGCGCCTAGTGGCTCGCCGCGCATTGAAGTCACTGCTCCAGTGACGTACGCTAAGGTTAGGCGAAGATGAAGCGAGAATCATCAGACGGTTTTACCTGTTTCATACGGCCTTGGCCTTGTGTGCTCGCGTGCCGCTCAACGATGTAAACTGGCACACAGATAGAATTGGGATTTGGGGACAATGGATTTTCCTGACGGACTTTTTGGTCAGGACGGCCTTCTTCCTGGTATGTAATAGAATTTTGTCGTAGCTCCCAGTGCACACAAGACTAAATGGTGTGGTAATGATGCTCGAAATGAAGTTCGGGTTTTGACATGCTTTTTGACTTCACTGTGTGCTTGTTGAACTAAGTTTCTTTGAACGAAGTTCACTTAGAAATATAATGTGCGGGTTGATTTAGTAAGTCATTGAAAAACATAGCAGTTGGTGATTGACAACAAGGCTAGGGTGGATGACTACTATTTACTAGCATTACTACTAGTAGTCTAATAGATGAAAGGGTCGTGAAGTGTTGAATCTGTCACCCTGGAAAGTGGAATCTGATCCTGTTACCTGGAACCTGGTACCTGGTGCATTATAATCTTAAGCTTTATGATGTTACCAATACTCTTGAGGTGTTTTGCTAATGCAATTTTGTAGTTAATGTGTACGAATTTGATCATTTTGGTGCAACCTGTCTTAGACAGTGCAACAGTCTAATGTATGTTAAGTAATCAAACAAGTGTAATGCTTCAAGTTTGTATAATGCATGTGCCTTAAGTTAGTTTCCTGCCAAGAGCATTATCTGCAGCTATTTCTCCCATATTGTGAGGATACATGTTTTGTATATAGGCATGCCAGCTTCTCTCTTTTTCACTCCATAGATCACAGCAATCCAATGATGACATCCTGCAAGGCAAATATTTTGTACACGTGCATGTAAAAAAATCTGTCAGTTGTCATGTTACTTCGCAGGCCCCCTGCCAGAAGATGTTTTAGCATGTTGTGACATGTGTGGAGGGAAGCATCTGACCTTGGATTGTCAGCTGCTTCTGGAAGCTCCCAGGGTATGTTTCTGGGCTGCATATCTTGTTTAGTATTAAGCACTCAGCCTGATGCAGGTAATTCTACCTTAGTGAAAACTGTTTGAGGAATTTGAGTTGAAAAGGGAAGTGCTTGGTTGCTAATGTTTTTAGTGGCTCTACATGGTGGTTAAACTAAATGATTACCACAATTGTTGCATGGTTTGGAAGCTCGGCTGAAGTTGAATCCATGCTTTACTCCTGTAACAAGTTATCAACAACATGATGACTTGTATGCCAATGTACACCATGCACAATGTAGTCTTTGAAATAATGCTGCTGTCTTGTTCCCACTCTCTCCTCCTGCCTCCTGTGTCATGTCCCTTGTCCCTGGCCCTGTCTTTGTCTCCACTGATGAATGCTGAAAATGTGACAGAAAGGATAGAATATCTCATTCAGTGAATGTTTGATAAATGTTTGACATGATCATGTGATGCAACCCACCCATGGTTGATGTTTTTTCATTGGTGTGTGTGGTAGGTCTGTGACAGCATCACCAGTCGGGCCCGTGTCACTCTACCGTCCATGTTGGGTCTGCGCCTCCACCTCGACTCTACTGTGTCCGTCACATCCACCACCCAGCTGGAGACCGGCACGTTGTTCGGACCGATGGTGGCGCCGCGCATCGACAGCATTGCCAACCACCAGTTTCCGTTAAAGGCAAGAGAGGGCACTTATCGTCAAACGCTGTCGGCATCCCAGCATGTCCAGTTATTTTATTTGTCCACTTCCCATCTATTATTGCTTGTGAAAAGAGGATGTGCGGTTGGCTTACCAGTATGATTCATAATCGTAATATACAAGCCTGAAAATGCAGTGTTAAGATTTCATGCAATGCAATTAAGGAGCTGCTTGACCTCCAACATCCCCCTTGTCAGAGCATCGTGAAAGTGTGCTATGCGTAACACAAGCGCCATTTAAGTTGTCATATGGCCTCTTCTGTCCGCCATGCAGGTGTTTGGCACCAGCGACGGGTCAGACCAGTTTCTGGATACCAGTGATGAGGATCAGTGCAACTGGATGTGTCTGGTGTCACCATCTTCGGAGCCACACCTGCAGAACCTGGTCTGCCTGCAGGCACGTGGCCGGGCGTTAGCTGCGGGGGAAGGGAGGAGCATGGCCCGATGGGGTGCTCCTAGTGTGGGTCGGATGGTTGGAGACGCAGACGCAGGCCAGACCTGCGACGCAGGTCTGACTGGAGGGACTTTTTCAAGGTTTGTAGAAAATGGGAAGCTTTTTGCAAATTGGACAGGGTGACGTGGACTTGCCTTGTCCTTGAGGCTCAGACGAGTCAGACTCCGACATCCATAGCATAACACCCCAGCTAGTAATCTTTTATTAGCCATCATAATCACCACAACAGGGTCAGTGTGGCTCCACTTTCATCACATACATTTGCATGGTACAAGACTCATTTTTCGAAAACATTTGTCCAGGCTGCTGAAGGTGCATTTGTTTGCATTTTTTAATGCAGCGCCCGTCTTTTCAACGGGCGATTCCCGCAATCATTGTCCACACCAAGCAGTGCTTATGCAATGTGAGCAGTGCCTGTGCCATGATTCTACCATCTGATCATGTAATGGCAGGTCAGCGGCTGCGTGCAGGGCGAATACTGAATGCGCCGCAGTGCACGGCACGGTCTGCCCCGCCCATCATCAGTTTGACGTCCCGTCACTCAGGGCGTATGCAGCAGTACTGTGTATTGACATAATAACTAATGATAAAAGGTGCCAATATCATACAATTTACCGGTCGATGGCATTTTAGGTCCGTGCACAACACGGCCGCGTGTGACGGTAAGCGGCTGTGTCCGTCAGATGGGACAGGACATCTACTACCTGGTGCGGCGCGCCGTCCCGGCTGGCTCCGAGCTGCGAGTCTGGTACTCGCCCTTCTACGCCCAGAAGCTGCGACACACGCTGGCGGTGGGCGTGCCGGGCCAGCCGCCGCCCGACGTCACCGAGGTGGTGCTGATACGGGAGCGGAGCCCCGGCCACCCAGCCGAGGTCAGTCCCGCTGCTGGCTCGGGACGCTCGGACCGGGGCGGCGTCAGTTCTCTGCGACGTCATGCGATCCGACGTCTGGCCCCACCTGCCAACCCTGTCTATCGTCATTATTCCCCTTCCATGTCACTGGACCTACCAACCCTGTCCATCATCAGTCCCCTCTCATGTCACTGGACGTACCGACCCTGTCCATCATCACCAGTCCCCTCTCATGTCACTGGGCCTACCGACCCTGTCCATCAAAATCAGTCCCCTCCCATGTCACTGGACCTACCCATCTGGCTGAGGTCAATCCCTGCTGGCGGCGCCTGGCGGACGTACAGGTGACACAGCGTGACCGCGCAGGCGTAACTCGCTCACGCTGGCGACACTCGCGAGTACTGATGATTGAGATTGCCTAAACGCAGCCACGAGATTGATTCTGTAACGTTAATGATTTAACTCCGACGACGGTCATGAAATTGCACAGAACGTTAACACATCCTAGGCACCTCCTAGGCAAGTGTTCTCCGGTACCCACTCATCCTTGCTTGTCACTTTGTTATGTTAACTTCACATTATGAACTGCTCCTGCCATGTTTATGCACCGTCCCCGTTCGCAGGCAGCGCCTGCTCTTCCTGCCAACACAGAGAGGCAGGGGCCGGCGGCGGCGGCCGGGCCAAGCCGGGACTGTCCCCTCTGCGAGCAGAGCCCGGCCGGCGAGGTGGCGCTAGCGGACCACCTGCTGCAGCGTCACGCCCGCCACCTGGCGGCCGAGACATCCGAGACCAGCTGCGCCCTGTGCAGCCGCCGCTGCGCCACGGGCCGCGCGCTGCTGGCCCACCTGCGCCGCCACCGCGGTGACCACCGCTGCACCAGCTGCCTCAAGGTGTGGGTCAGTTGTCTCCAACGTTGGGACCAACGGTTCTCACAGCTGTCTCCGGGGTGAGCCCACCAGCATGCCGATCTTAGGGTGGGCCCGTGGTCACAGCTGTCTCCGGGGTGGGCCCACCAGCATGCCGATCTAAGGGTGAGCCCGTGGTCACAGCTGCCTCCAGGTGGGGCCACTGGTCGCAGCTCCCGGGGCGGCACGGTGACCGCGGCCTCTTGCGTCGTCGCCTTGTGACCCTGTGCACCTCCCGCATAGTTCGCCTCTGATCTGACCGTGTCCTCTTCAGACGTTTGCAAGACGCCCGTCCCTGCTCTCACACCCGTGCCCGGGGCCGCAACGCGCCGCCGAGGGTCTCGCCTGCCCGCACTGCGGCCGGCTGTTCTCCTCGGCGGCCGTCTGGCGGCGCCACCTTCGCCGGCACTCGGGCGCGCTGCGCTGCGCCGACTGCGGTCGCCAGTTCGCCTCAGCGGCCACCCAAGCGGCGCACGTCTGCCGCACGCGCCTGCCTGTCGCCGGCCTGCTGCCCTGCCCGCAGTGCTCGCGCCGCTTCGTCAGCGCCAGCAGCCTGCAGAAACACGCGGCGATACACTCGCAGCGCTTTGCGTGCTCGTGCTGTGGACGGCGCTTCTCGGGCGGCGCTGCGCTGCGCCGCCACGAGGCGCTGTGCGGCGCCGACGAACAGCTGCGCAGGGATGGCGCCGTCGCCTGCCGGCAGTGCGGCGCCCGGCTCGCCTCGGCGCCGGCGCTGGCCGAGCACGCGCGCGCGCACGAGCTGCCGCACCGCTGCTCCACGTGCGGCCAGCGGTTCCGCGCGCGCCTGCAGCTCGCCGCGCACGTGTGCTCGCGGCTGGCGCCGGAGCGGCCGGTGCCCGAGCGGCCAGCGTCGCCCGAACGGCCAGCGTCGCCCGGCGCGCGTCCGGCCGCCTCCGCCGCCGTCTGCGAGGTGTGCGCACAGACGTTCGGCAGCAAGAAGGCGCTCTGGCTGCACCGGTTCACGCACGCCGAGCGCCAGTTCGCCTGCGAAGTGTGCTTTAAGAAGTTCAAGCGGAAGGACACGATGATGGCACACTTGGCGACGCACGCGGAGGCGCAGGTCAGTCCTGTCGTTTGAGGTGCTCTGGTCTTCAGAGGGGTGACGGGAAAAGCGGTCTTTCTCTCACGTCCCAGATGCCTCCCTGAATTCTTAGTGGTGGTCCATGGCATTTGAATGTTGTACTGGAAAAATCCCGTGAAGAAACCCATGACCAGAGATGTTTACATATCAATGTTATTTGCCCCATGTTCACGTCTCTGCGCCGTTGTATACTCACTGGGGGGGGGGGGGGGGGGGGGGGGGGTACATTTGCCTTTACTACAATGGTACCATCACTGTGGACACAGCAACCTCTCTTGACTGGTGCCCCGTGTGACGCCTTGCTCCTTGTCAGGTGCCCTGCCCACACTGCGACGGTACCCCGTGTAACCCCCCACTCGCCAGTAGGTGCCCTGCCCACACCGCGACGGTACCCCGTGTAACCCCCTACTCGCCATCAGGTGCCCTGCCTGCACTGCGACGGTGTCCTGTTTAACACCCCGCTCGCTATGAGGTGCCCTGCCCACAGGGCACCTGCGACGGTGGCCCGTGTGATGCCCAGCTGGCTGCCAGGTGCCCTGTGCGCACTGCGACGGTACCCCGCCTAACGCCCCCCCCCCCCCCCCCCTCTCGCCGTCAGGTGCCCTGCCCGCACTGCGACAAACGGTTCAAGTCCGCCAAGTCGCTGGCGGTTCATGTGCGCCTGCACACGGGTGACGCGCGCTTCCCCTGCGATGTGTGCGGCAAGCCGTTCGTGCAGAAGGTCAACATGGAGCGGCACAGGCGCACCCACGAGCCCGACCACCGGCTGGCCAACAAGTGCGAGACGTGTGGCAAGTGCTTCAGTAGCCGCCATCACCTGAAGCACCACCAGCTGGAGCATAGCCAGGTCCGTGAAGGAGGAACGGAGGGGTCTTACGGGCGGCTGCAGGGTGGAGAGGAGTGGGGCCGTAGTTAACGTCGTGCGCTCCATTTTTCGGAGGAGGAGCATTGGTTTGTGCCACGCAGACCTTGTGTTTAGGAAAGCGGTTAAGTCTGGAAGTTGGACCGCTTTTCTGAGCAGAACGCATGTCGAGGTCAGACTGGGGACTTCGAAAGCACAACAGATACGGTTAAATAGAGGTGGAGGGCCGTCCACGTGATCGAAAGGCTGTCGACCGTGCACACTTGCCATGCGTCGTGTCGGGGTGTTGGAAACTGTGATCAAAGATTGTCATGCTGCAGATGACCATGACGGTTCGGTGACCCTTGTGCGTCCGCCCGCAGGGCCGGACCCATCGCTGCTCGGCGTGCTCGCGCACCTTCCTGAAGCCACGTGACCTGCAGCGCCACGTCTCACTGGCGCACGGCAGCGGCCAGTACGAGTGTCCCTTCTGCCACATGACCACGCGGCTGAAGAGCAGCATTGGGTGCGCTAGCCGCGGCGAGTTCGCTCTTGGGACAGACGGCTGGTGCACCTCGGTCTCGGTTAGCAGCTGTCGTCACTTAAAACTGAGTACTGTGGGGAGAACTTCTGGGTATGCCATTGTTATATTTGAGACGCGGAGTAAGTGGTGTTTGTCTAAATGATTGCGACTTGTTTGTGACCATGCGCTTGCTCTGCCCGCTTGGTAGCCCGCGTTGTGCCCCCCCCCCCCCCCCCCCCTCCTGTTCAGAGAGGGCGCTGACGGTGCGGCGTCTCTGTGTTCAGCCGTCACATGGCCAAGATGCATCGGGCGGAAGAGGAGCAGTGGTCGGCAGATGGCTTCCTGGACTCGCTCTACAGTGCCGGCCGCTCCGCCGACTCGATCCTCACGCTCGAGCCGAGCAGCACGCTGCTGCTGGCGCTGCCACCTGCCGGCGACACGCTGGACTCAAGCCTAGCGCGCTCGCCGTCGGCGGCGCTGTTGGTGGACGGCGCGGACGCCGACTCGGGCGTGTTGCTCTACGTGATTGATGTGCCCGAGATGGACATCACCTTCGACGGACAGACGTAGCCCCTGCGTGGGATGGGGGAGCGGATTATACCCTACCTCTCAACGGGTGGAGACAGACGAGGCCTGAGGAAAGTGACGTGGAACCATTTGGCATCGTGGCGGTACATTTGCACATGGGTTTATAAACTGGGTTACGAGTTTGATAATCCTGTTAACACTTGTTTTTTAGTTTTAGATGTTTTGCCATGGGTCTTCACGAGAGATGTTGTGAAATGTGGTCGATATTTACATGGTGCAATTATATGTATCACGTTTAATCGATTGCAAGGCCTGTTACGCACAAACTCATGAGGCAGTTGTTTTTTCCTTGCGCAATGCACCTGTTGTTGAGACTACAAGAAGTGGTTTGCAGCGTGTTTTGCGTCAGTGTCATGCGACACAGCAAGAAATGAAATGCAGGACATTTTGTACAAAGCCATACCAATTTTATGAGTACACGGACTGCAGTCAACATTTGCAGTCAACTGACAGTTTTTACCACTACGGGCACTGCAGTCAGCATGCGTCACGGCCATCACGCGACAAAATCGTATCAGGCTTGTATAATCAATCGATACGCGGCCGCTACACACGATTTATACCGATGGTGAATTAAAGCCTCATTCCGTCTTTTGTGGTGTCGCGGGCTACGCTCTAGTGGATCAGGAAAACAGCTGAGAGTGTGGGCGGAGTCCTTTTTGACGCAGAGATTGGGACACCATCCCGCCCGCCTCGTTTGCTTTCGCTGGTTTCTTCGAAAGGGTTTGGAGCAGGTCGTTGATATTGGCGTACCTATTCAAGGCACTGCTTTAAGCACTGTGTCAAAATTTCGAGTTCGCACACTGCGTGAGGGCAGTTCCAGGGCGCGGCACCGAGGGTGTCGTCCACGAAACACGACAACCATGCCAAGATGGTGACCTATCGGACTAAACGCACTGATTTGTGGTGACAAATAAGCTAAATTGTTATTGCAATGTAGCAACGTAGCATGGCGGAGGCAATCCCAGAGCTTATGGACAGGAGTTTCCAAACGGTATGAAGTTCGTTGCGTGCCGCCAATGCAGGTACATACGAGGTACCTCTCGGTATCTAGGTGCAAAGCTTTGCACTTTGGCCGACGTGAACACAAACAATAGGCATACACACTGACAAAGGCGCGTACAGAGCCCGCGGAAGACGATACAGGGGAGCGAGGCGTCAAACCTATACAAACGCTAGTGTTATCACGAATGTATGGGGAGACGAATGTGTCTGAACAAAGCTGGAGGGAAAAATGCGCAGACTTCTTCAGGGGTGAAAGAAACGAGCTCTCGTGGTGTAGGATGCAAGGGCCTAAAAGAATGCATTAACTGGCTTTTTTTGGGGGGGGGCGTTGTCAACGGGACGAAATTACCCCGCCGTCCTTTGCGGCGAGGGCAAAACTGTTCGAACCCCAATCCATAAAAGATGGTACAGAAACGGCCCTTTGCTGTATGGAAATGATTTACGTATTGTAAGGCACGGAAAGGGTATTTTCAGTCTTTCGCGTGAACTCAGAAGGGTCCCTGTCTGTCTGGAAAGGATCCATCGTTGACTCGAAGAGGACCTCGCAGTTCCCAAAATTGTCCATTATAGACTCAAACAGACCGTTTAAAGCCAAGCAGGGATCAATTTTGGACTGAGAGGGTAAGAATTTCAGGTTCGAAAAGGCCCATCTCGCACCTTAGGCCTAGGAAGAGTCAATCTCTGGTCTGCAAACCCACGATAGGCTCAGAAAGGGCTCGCCTCAGGCCCGGGCAGGGGCCATCGTAGACTCCGAAAGCGGACCTTCATGTTTAGAACGGATCCATTGTCGACACTTAAACTCAGCGCACGGCCTCCTTAAGATTCAAAATATTAACGTCGTGGTCCGAGAAAGAGCCATGTCACGATTGACCCGGGAGGGCACAAATCCATCCCAAAAGTCCTGGTCTGCCCTTAAAAGACCCCGCTGAGTCCACGATAAATCCTTTCCAGACCTGAGGGACCACATCGGAACCTTGGATGTGCTTTTTTACCCGCCTACAATCAGAATGGGCCACCGTGGGTTTTGTTCGTCCCATTTGATCCCATTTCTCTATTGATCCCAAGTCATACTTACCTATACTCAGACCACACCTAGAGTATTGTGTACAGGCTTCGTTCCCATGGTTCCAAAAATATATAGACTGGAAAGAGTACGACGGAAGGCGGCTAGGATGACAAATGGGGTTGGCGACTTAGAATATAAGAATAGGCTTAGGGCACTGGATTTATATTCCCTGAGGTATCGCAGAGCTAGAGGGGATCTGATAGAGGTATACAAGACTATGAAGAGTATTGACTAGGTAGATCTGCATGGAGCACTCGAAATTAGGCCGAGACATAGAGGACACCAGTTTCATGTAGCAAAAGGTAGAAGTAGAACTATCACGAGACAGATGCCACTAAGTCAAAAGGGAGTGAATAAATGGCATGGGTTGACAAACATAGTTGTGGGAAGTTCCTCTCTGACAACATTTAAAAACCGTTGGGCAAGTTCTATCGCTCTAAAGACCCCATTTATAGCCAAATTTATTTAAGGTTAGGTGATTAGTTTTGAGGATGTGTACGGGACCTGGGATAGGCCAACATCCTAGAGCCTTTGTGGCCCTACGGATATTCTGTCTTTACGTCTTTATGCCTTATTTTGCAGCGCATGTAAGATTTAGGCCTAGGAATGAACCACCTCTGATTAGAAAAAACCATAGGGGCTTAAAAGGGCAAGAACTAGATTCAGAAAAGAGCCAGTAATAAGCTCAGGAAGCACATGTTGAGGCTGAGAACGGGCCATGAGTTCAAGCGGGGGCCCAAAAAGGGGACAAGTAAACGTATTGGGGCACGCATTACGCAAATATAGGCTTGCCAGCTGTAACAGAAGACCGCCTAAAAACATATATATGCATGTAAAAGATCCTTGGATATCACCAGTGACCAGTGGCAGCGGGAGCATGAGTGCTGGGGGGGGGGGGGGGGGGGACAGCGAGGAAACTGGACGCTCTCCCCCGCCATCTTTTAAGGTGATGGCAAAACTATTTATCTGCCCCCAACATCCTCACTTTTCAGGTAGCCCGCAAAGGGCTTTTCCTTATGTGGAGATAATTCATCTGTTGTGTTACCAAACAACCACAGGGCCAGCCTTTTATCCGGAAAGGGTTCATCTTGGCCTGAAGAGGGCCCCTCCGGACCGGTTTGAGGGCCGAAGGTCTGGTCGGAGATCGTATTAACGGGCCCAACTCGTAGGGCCGGGTCTCAAATGCCAATCAGAGGACCCTTCGCGTTCTGAGTTGATGAGGGCCCTGTGCCAGTCCAGGACCACTAGTACCGAACATTCGGCTCCGCTCCATGTCGATTTGGGCATGAGGGCCCATTTCTTGAGCAGGGAAAAGGCCTGAGCCCGTGATTTGCATTAGGCGGGATCCATGAGTCAATGAGGGGTTCCTGTTTTGGTCAGGGTCCCACATTGCATAACAGGGGATCCTGTGTTGGCAAGGGGCTCCGAGTTGGCCAGGGGCAATGTTTGAGGGGCCTCCGATTGGAAGGCCGAAAGACCCAAGGGGCTGGCTGTAGGTCACATGAACGATATCGGTCCTTACGGCCCTAACCCCAAATTTCAGTAATAGGGCTTCTGTCACCGATTTAGACTTTCATGGACAATATGAACCTCTCTTTTGTCCAGAGACCATCGGCATCCAAAAGTTGGCTCGAAGTCGGTCCAAGATCTGGAGACCCATTTTCGTACAAGGAGCAAGGCGCTGGAACTGTGGGTCCGCGATCTGCTTTGTTGGGGCACATGAAACAATGAAAGGACCCTGCGTCGTTCAGGGGCTCACGGTGGTCAACAGGAGCCCTGTGTCAGCAAGTGGCCTCGAGTCGGCCACGGGCCGTATTCGAGGAGGCCAAAGAGGGCCTGAATGTCCCTCGGGGCCGAAGATCAAGAGCCTGACTAGAAGGCTCAAGGGTGCAAAGGGTCCGCATGAGTTGCTGTAAGTTACATTAAGTACCCGCCCCCCCCCCCCCGCAGGGCCGCGAACTCACAGCCTCTTACCCGATTGGGGACCTCCGTGACAGTGCGGGCCTCTATTTCGACCAGAGACCAACCACACTGAACAGCCGGCTACGTCACGATCTGAGCCCTGGGGACCCATTTTTCAAGCAGGGTCGAGGCTGGGGCCCGTGATTTGCACTGGTCCATTGACGCCTGAAGCAACGGGGTCCTGTTTCCGAATGGGCCCCACGTCGGCCAGGGGATATTTACTGAACAGGGACAGGGACGGGACCCTGAACGGCAGAAGGTCTCTCGCATCTGTCGGGCCCTCTGAGAATGACAAGGAGATGTGAGAACTTATGGTGAGAGTCCGCAACAAAACACCCTGGAATAGAAGTGTAACGTAATGAAAGGACCCTGCAGCAGACAGTGACCTCCATACCAACGAAAGCCCCTCTGACCACATACGACGAGCAATCTTGTCACTTCAATGGCAGGTTCTACTTTAATCTGGGGCCAACTGCCAGGGTCAGAAGGTTTCCCACCCTCCCCAGAATGCCCATCTATTTGTAAAATCGACCAGTGAAACAAATTAAATCGAACAATTTTTGACCCTGCGTGCCACCAGCCCCGCGTGTCCAAAAGCTTTGACCCTGCGCTGCGTGCGTGCTCCCAATCTTAGGAGCAGGGACGGTGATGGGCGGTGTTGCGGTTTCCGTTAAATCGGACGACGTCAGCCGTTGCAGATAATACCAGGAGGCGGCCACCGGACGCGCAACAGCAACCGACCGTCGTGAGACGATGCTTCTAAAAGTCTTTCTCAAAATCACTCCGCGTCATTCAAAGATAACACTGTGGTGCATATTTCACCTTTATAAGCTTGATCTTGTTATCTGCACACTCTGATAGTTGAAGCGACACGAAAAAATAGAGGTTCTGCCTTTCGTGCTCCACCATCAGTTTACAGCACGGTTCGCGCTGCTCTAAATACTTATCA